GGCCAGAAGGAAAGGCAAACACGGAAGGGGGAAACACAGAGGGAGGTCGGGGGCAGCTCAGGAGGGGCCCCGATGGCAGACCCCAGGTCCCTGCCACTGGTCTGGCACCTATGGCAGGCCACACACAGCTACTCCCGGCACCATCTGCAGGGCACGGGCTCCCGTTACGGAAAGACTATCAGTAAGTCAGATGGGTATCAGAAAGAATGCTACATCTCAGACGCCATGGGGGGAGGCCTATCACTGAGAGCTAGCAAAAGCCACGGTGCTTCGTCAAGGAGAGGGTCAGTGAGAACCTGGAACCTTGTCCCCATGAGAAGGGTTGACACCATAGCGGTAGCAAGGAGCCCACGACGGTGACAACGGGAGGGGACGGGGAGGCGTTTGGTTCAGGTCTACCTAAGGCTGCCGGGACACAGAGCCGACTAGACACCAACGCACACAACTACCGACCTGCACGCCAGGGCAGCAGCCTGCACCCACGGACCATGACGCGTGCAACTTACCAAGCAGTATGCATGGCCCATAAGACACACGATGCCCCTCACTGGTCCACACCATCCGAGTCCCACCTCACCAGTGACCCCATCCAGTCACCAATTAATCCCATACTCAGTTTATTCCATCTTCTTGTTGTTGGATTTTTTTTGGGGGGTAGCTGTCCCCCCAAAAGCAATCCCATTTAGATACATGTTCCTCATAGAACCCACCAAATATCAGAGCTACTGACTCCGTAAGAGCCCTGGTTATGTGTTGGGCTGCTAACTACAAGGTTAGCCGTTCAAAACCATCGGCAGCTACTTGGGACAAAGGTGAGGCTTACAGCCTCAGGACACCCCCGTGGCAGTTCTACCCTGACCCGTCAGGTGAGGCGTCACAATGGACTCAGTAGTTGGTCGGCTGGACTGACTGCATGTCCCCAGGCGAGATTGTTTCGGGGCTTTGATTTCTTCTGGACAAGAGGCCTCACGGGCAGTTTGTTGTAAGAGTTCAGAGCTACTCAGAGGTTCTTCACCGTCCACCACAACAGAACAACAGTGGCCGGGTGGGTTACGACACATGGCAATCCATTATGTCAGACTAGCACCGGGCCCCTACAGAGCAGTCAGTCGGTGGCTGGCTGGGGAGGTAGATCGATCACCACGCCTTTTCCCCAAGGTGCCCGTCGATGAACCTCAACCTTCACCCTTTCGGTTAGCAGCTAACCCAGTTCACTGTTCAGTTGGCCCAGCAACACCTGCAAATTTCCCATTGTTGCTCTCAAGTTGGTTCCAACCCACGGCAACCCCGGGGGTGAGAGTGTTCTCAAAGCTGTGACATTCCAGAAGTAGAGGTCACAGGCCTGTTGTCCAAGGGGCCACTGGGGGTTGGAACAGCCGACCTTTCAGCCAGTAGTTAAGGGCTGAACCCCCTGCGCCGCCCAGGGACTCCACAGGGTTCGACACCCTGCCCGGTTCAGCCCCATCTTCCCCTCCGTGAGATGCTTTGTTTTCCAAGGGGCAGAAAGCACAGACCTGGAAGTCAGACAGAGCGGGGTCACAATCCAGTCACTGCCAGCTTCCCACGCCCTGTGCCCTCCGCCCCCAGCCTTGGCTTCGGTGTGGGGGAAATGGGCGAGTGCCTTCTCTGTACGAATGGGGTAGGCACTGGTGGCTAAGTAGAGGAGGAAGAGGACAGAG